GTGGGATTTGGTTCCTTGGTGTGGAGGTGCAGGGTCATGGTTTCAGGGGACATCCCAGCTGACTGGCCTAATAATGTATTTAGTGCTTCTGTTCTGCCTCCTTGTTCATTGTGTAGTGCCAGAGGTCTTAAAAACTTGCAAGTGGATAGCTAAGGCACAACAATTGGTTTTTATTCACTTGGAGCAACAGAGGAAGGGGAGTCAGAAATAGAGGAAGATACAGAATGTGTGGCTAATTGCTTCCATAAACAACTACCTCCTTTGCCATGATACTTGAAGAACTGGATGGTGCCTAGCTACTATTACTGAACATTTTGATCAAAGATTCTATAAAAGAATTTTGATCAGAAAGGAGAAAGTGTATAAGAGAATTTCAGATTCTCATGAATTCTAGATTTTATGGAGCCATGGAGGGTGGATGAACCCCTGAAACTATTGCCCAGAAATAATCTTTAAAACTTAAACCAAAAATATTCCCTAAAGTCTTCTTAAATCCGAACAATAGTGTAGCTTAATGAATAAAGATCTGCCTTGAGCATTATGCCCTTTTAAGATCTATATGGGATCAAATTGACAACAGCAGCTTGAAAAGTTGGATAGGAACCTTAGGGGGCAGTTAGTTTATGTTAATGAGAGAAGAACAACTTAGAGAAGGAGGGTGAGAATGGTTGCACAACTTGAATATAACTAATGCTACTAAATTGTACATGTAGAAATTGTTGAATTGGTGTATGTTTTGCTGTGTACATTCTCAGCAACAACAAAGTGAATACTATTTAAGGGGAACAATAAGAGAATGTAGGCGTCTCTGGGTGGTGCAAATGTTTATGCATTCAGCTGCTAAACTAAAGGGTGTCAGTTTGAATCAGGTACCTCTGAAGAAAGACCTGATGATAAACTTCTAAAAGATAAGTCATTGAGAATCCTATGGAGCACAGTTCTACTCTGATACCTATGGGTTACCGAGTGTTGGAATTGAATCAATGACAAGAATGTTGGTCTTTTACATTTTTTTCACCTTTTACTCCCTTGTGTCAAGTTGTATAAACACGGTTCCAGTTGTAACCTCAAAATACTGTGAAGGACACAGTAAAGGTTCTGAGATAAAGACTGGTCGGAAGGGCTCCATAGAGAGGATGATGAGGGACAGACTTTTTGCATGATTGATTGTATACTGATCTCTCCAAAGAATCTGGAATCTGGTTTAATTGGCTGGAGTGTGGCCTGAACATTGAGATTTCAAAACCTCCTGCTGTGATTCTCATGTGCAGCCAAGGTTGAACACCAGTACCGTACATAATGAATAATAATGTATTTTAGAAGTGGACTCTGGCCAATATAAGGAGTCTGTCCAGGGGCTCTCACACAGTTGGTGAGAGGGTCAGGACCCAAAGCACTCCAGAGGCTGGGCCAAGAAACTCTAGCAGGAGACTCTGGATAGGCACATGGCACTGACCAACACTTCCTCCAAACTTACCCAACATCCAGAGCCCAGGAAAGGGTGTTGGTTGGATGGGCTTTGGTCATGGGCTTTTCCTGGGGAGAGAGCTTGCCCCCTTCATCCTCTGTGAGGGAAGCGGTCACCAGAATTGACCCTGCCACACACTCCATGCCCACACACAATTGGGGGCAGGTCCGATGTTAGAAAGGAGAAGTTGGATGCTAGGCAACCTCACAGGGGTCCACTTCATGGCCTTAAAAGATGAGCACATTTCCTGAATGAAACTGAATGAGAGATTTGCACCTAGAGCATGGTGTGTTTGAAAAATATTTACTTCTTGTATGCCTGCTTTTCTCCTCTCTTCTTTCTCCACTTCCTCAGATCTTCCTGTGCAGGGATTTCATTCTGTTTAACAAGACAAAGTTTACTCTGAAAGGAGTCATGGGAGACAAAAAGTTAAGAGTGTGGTTGAATTAAAGATGACCAATGCAGGCAGAGGTCAATGGTGAGAGCCGTTGAAGCTTAAGTGGTCAGGAAGGGCTTTGTGATGGAGCTAGACCCACACTGAGCCCACAGGTGGGCTTAACAACTGGACGGATCTGGAAGGAAACTGTTAATGACAGAGGGGATGGTTCAAGTGAATGCATTTGCGCAATTCTCACTAAAGAGTGGGAGCACGTGCAGTTGAATGAAGCAAGCTAGGATGGACTCAGCTTTTGCATTTCCATTTTATTCAACAAGCAGTTATTGTATGATTCCATTTATATGAGTTGTCCAGAACAGGTAAATCCATAGAGACAGAATACAGATTGCTAGTTGTCAGGATTGGAGGAGGGAGAATTGGAGAAGTGATGGCTTAACATATCTGAGGTTTTCTTTTGGGGTGATGAAAACATTTTGGAACTAGATAGAAGTGGTGGTTGTACAACATTGTGAATGTACTAAATGCACTGAACTGTACACTTTAAAATGATTCATTTTATGTTATAGGAATTTCACCTAAATTAAATTAAAAAAAAAAAAAAAAGCATTTGAGCACTTAATTATGTATCTGGGTTAGTTCCTTGGGAGGGGTTATGAGGATAAATGATACAGCGTAGTTCCTTCTCATCAGGTTATAGCCTGATGAGAATTAGGAACACACTATGGAAATGATAATACAGTAGAGCATGGTACAGAATGCTTGTATCAGAAAAAGTGAGCATACCCTGGAGGAGTTAGGGAAAGATTCATGGAGGAGGTTGCAGTTGAGGTGGGTTATAATGAATAAGTAAGGTTTTGATCAGTAGAATTTATGAGAAGGAGGGTATTGGTGAAGAAGGATACAATGTGAGAGGAGGTAAACCCCAAAAAAGGAGTGAGGAGAACATTTTGGCTGAAACAAAATACATTTGTTCTAAAGGAATAGACAGTTGGACTAGAAAGGTAGGTTGAGAACATATTGATAAAGGTCTTGAGGACTAAGATAAAAAGGTTTTGGGTTGGGGATAGGGAAGACCTGTACATTTGTATTAAATATGTCTATATACTACTTGTCAAGTTGACTCTGACTCATGGAGGCCTATGTATCAGAATGGAACTGTGCTCCTTCAGGTTTTCAGTGGGTAGTTTTTTGGAAATAGACTTCCAGACTTTTCTTCTGAGGCACATCTGGTGGACTCACACACCCAACCTTTCAGTTAGCAGTCAAGCATGTCAGCCATTTGCACCACTTCGGAACTTCCCGCATTTGTATAAACAAACAAAAAAAACAACCCAAACTCACTGCCATTGAGTCAATTCGGACTCATAGTGACCCCCAGTAGGTTTCCAAGGCTGTAAATCTTTATGGAAATAAATTGCCCCATATTCCTTCTGTGGAGCATCTGGTGGGTTTGAACCACTTACCTGGTTAGCAGCCAAATGCTTTACCCACTGCCCTACCAGAGCTCTTTTATATTTTTGTGTATATGTGTGTGTGTGTGTGTGTGTGTATGTATAAAATCACTGCCATCGAGTTGATTCGGCTCACAGTGACCCCTCTTTGCGTTTCTGAGGCAGTATCTCTATAGTAATAGATTGCTCAGTCTTCCTCCAAGGAGTGGCTGGTGGGTATAGAACTTGTGTTTTCTGGAGATGCTTCTCCACTGCAATCTCATGTGAGTTTTCTCTTTTGAGTGTAATAAAACAACCCAAGAAGCAGTCGCTATGAGTAGAATCCACTTGAAGTCAGTGAGTGAGTTAAGACAATAGCACAAATGCGTGAAAAGACTTGCGCATTGCTGCATACGGATACATAGCACTCTATGCAGAGTATCAGGACAGGTAAGAACTTTGCTAGTGGAGTACAGATTAGGCCTTAGGCTGAGGTCAATAAACTCACTCTCAGGTCAGGAGTTCCAATGACAGTGGAGTCTATGATGCATAATTTGGTTATTTCCATGTTGATTTTGCTATGGCTGAGTATATTTTCCTACACACCCAACCATGCATCCTTCAAACCTCTATGTTTAGAGAAGAGCCAGTGTCTCTTTATAGATGAGGTGTCTTCACAGGCCTCCTGGAAAAGGCTGACTCTAGGTCACCTTCTTTGGCCTCTGCACAAGTCCTAGAATGGTGTGATAATGGCTCTCACCCCCAGCTGCTCAGCAGAAGCTTTTGGGGAGCTTTTGGCCTGCTAGTGCCAATGGCTAGGCTGGTGCCACCCTAGATCAGTTGAGTCACAGCCTTTCCCAATAACCCCTGAGTGGGTATACTACAAACATCCTTGTTTTTATGGCCAAGGAAACTGAGGTTGGGTGGTATAAAATTACTTGTTCACAGTTACACAGCTGGCAAATGCTAGAGTCAGCATTTGAACCCAGGTGGTTGTTTCTGGAGCCCAAGCTTCAAATCCTCATGCATGATAATCTCCCTCCCCTGCAGACGAAACTGCTGCTGAACAGATTTGGCCATTAATAATCAAGGTCTTTTCACAGCCCAACTAGGATTTTAAAGGCAGCTTTCGAAATAAACCAGCAGTGTGGGGTGTTAAGTCTTGCCCCATGACCCACAGAAGAATAGATGTGAAAGCAGCAGCTGGAATTCTCTGTTTCTGAAGCTGAGGTTTAGGCTCTCAGAGCCTCTGCCTGATGTGTAGTCAGCCAGAGTACTGGGGAAACCCCAGCTTCTCAGAGGCTGTGATCTCATTTTCCCATTGTTTCTATCTTCCACAATGCTGGATTCACAGAACTTAATAAATACTTGAAGGAATGAATGAATGGCTATATATTTGTGCCCTTAGCTTATGAGAGCTTAGACTGCCAAGGGAGCTTGTTTATTCCAGCTGCATGAAGCCCAAGTCTAGATACCATCCTGGGCCCAGCATTATTTCATTTGATTACTTGTTTTTAGTGCAAGTGTTGGAAGGGATGTCATTAAAGAAAAATGGAAGGAAAACCACGGTAATTCTTCATTAGGCAAAACTCATCGTTGGAGAGGTCTGTGGGTGTGGAATATAAAAGGAGTGGGGGTTGGCTCCTTGTTCCTTATGATGTGACCAAGAAGTTAAACTGGGACATTTTTTTCCTTTGTTTTACAGGTCACAGCCAAGACTGCCTTCCTATTTATTTTACCTCAGTATAACGTTAGCATGCCTACAGCAGGTAAGCAGAGCATCTTCCCCTAGCCCTGTTAGCTCTGAGGACTTGGGAAATTTCCTACCACAGTTAAGATAGCAGTGATACATGGTCAGCAGCCAGGAACATCCCTTGGTTCTCCACTGTGGTGGTTAGGAAGGATGTCATGGAGTGCTTCATGTGGCTCTCATAACTTTCCCTAAAGCATCTAGTGTTGACTTCTGCCAGAGACAGGACATGAGGCATCAGGACCACCACTCCATTCAAAAGTGTAGCTTTCTGTTCTAAATTTTTGATGAGAAGAATGGGCAAGATGTTGTATTTTATGGTGTGTGAACACATAGTCAGCGGACAGTGCTGTACTTTGACTGGGCTTGCAGTTGTGTTAGTTTGCTGGGGCTGCTGTAATAAATTACCACAAAGGGGTGGCTTCAAACAACAGAAATTTTCCTCTAGCAGTTCTGGAGGCTAGAAATCCAAATTCACAGTGTTGTCAGAGAAATTCTGTCTCTGAGGCTCTAGGGAAAGACCCCTTCTTATCTCTGCCAGCTTCTGTTAGCCCCATGCTTTCTTTGGTTTGTGGCCACATAATTCTAATCTCCGCTTCTATCATCACATGGGTGTCTCCCCTCTGTTTCTCTGTCTCTTCTCTTCTTTTTATAAGGACACTAGTAATAAAGGGGAGCTCTGGTGATATAGTGCGTAAGGCATTTGACTGCTAACCAGATAATAGATTAGAGCCCACCCTCATGACCTCTTCTTAACTGATTACAGCTGCAGTGATGCTATTTCCAAATAAGGTCATATTCACAAGTACTGCAGGTTAGAACTTCATATGTTCCGAGAGACACAATTCAACCCATTGCAGTGGGTCAGGAGTAAACCTCAGGCTCTAGACATAGGTTTTTTTGTTTTTTTTTTATTGTGATTTCCATGCAGATTTACAAAGCAGATTCGTTTTACTCTCAACAGTTGGTGCACATTTGATTTCACAGCCCTGATCACATTCCCAGCCATAAAAACTTCTTCCTTTTCCTGCCTGTGACTACCCCTTCCCTGTGCCCTTCTTATCTATGCATTCCTGCCTGTCCAGTTTTCCCTCTTTGTCAGTGCTGCCCCTCTGATGTCTCATGGCTGATTGATCCAAGGGGTGCATCTCCCTAGAGTAGGTGGGTGCAGTTCCCTGGGCTAGATGTTCTGCTTGTAGGCCTTTCTACTGTTGGGCTGAGAGCCAATCCATGAAGTGAGTCCATTTCCAGGCCTAAAGGATAACCCGGGGCCATAGTCTCAGGGGTTCCACCAGTCTCTATCTGACCAATAATTCTGGTCATTTTTGTGTTTTTGAATTTTGTTACACATTTTTTCCTCCCACTCTATCCAGGATCTCCAATTTTGATCCCTTTCTGAGTGGTTGGCATTGGTAGCTGGGCACCATCTAGTTCTTCTGGTTTCAGAGTCATGAAGGCTGTGGTCCTTATGGTCCATTGTATCTTTGGACTAATTGTTTCCAAATGACTTTGATTTTCTTCAATCTTCTTTGCTCCAGATGAGAGGAGACCAATAGTTGCATCTAGATGGCTGATCAAAAGCTTTTAAAACCCCAGTCGCTACTCACCGAAGTAGGATGTAGAGCAAAATTTTTATGTATTGTGTTGTGCCAATTGAACATGATGTCCCCTGAGACTATGATCCCAAGCCCACAGTCCTGGTGATTCTCTCCCTCAAGGTGTTTGGTTGTCTCTGAGCAGCTACTCCAACCTTGTCCTCTGTTACTTCTGTAATGTAGGTGGATAATTTTGTAGGACAAGTACATATACAAGACTGTCTTCAGCCAAATCTATCTTTGGTCTTGGGTATATTCCTCTTTGCCTACCTGTGATAGTTGAAGATGTGTCAACTTGGCTGGACTCCAGTTGTGAGTGGTGGTTCCCATGATGGATCACATGACTGCGTCCTAAGCGGCCGGTCAGTCTAGGGGGAGTTTCCCCAGGGGTGTGGCCTACCTGTAATACTATCCCAGGGACAAACTGGAAGAACGGCATTCCAGACTATATACTTCCTGGAGCAAGCAGCTCGCTGCTCGCCCCGGAGGCTTTTGGATTTATTCTTTGTTGGGAACGGCAACCCTGCGTGTCAGTTTGATTCTCTCGGCTCTGCTGCGCTTATGGGAACCAGACGACTCCAGGCCCCATCTCTCTCCAGAGATGAACTTTGTGACTTGAACTCCTCTGCTGTGCGTGTGAAAGCCAGACGGCCCTGGGCCCCATCCCCCTCCAGAGACGAACTTTTCAGCTTGAACTTGTCGGCTTCTACACGCTTGTGAGCCATTTATCTAAGATAAATTTCTCTCTCTCTCTTTCTTTCTCTATAAATATATATATATATAAACTTTGCTGGTTTTTGTGTTTCTCTAGAGAACCCAATCCAACACACTACCCCTACCTGATCTTCTCACCTGTCTGTGCATTTACCCATAGCCTCGTGTTTGCTGCCAGTGGTAATGCAATATTGTGCATATAATAGCATTGCCTCTTTGTCTCTATCTTTTGTGCACGTTTCTGTATCCTCCCTTTCTCCATTGTCACCGTACTGGTCACAGACTCTTTCCATACCCCTCTCCCCTCACCCAGATCAGCATGAGATCCCCAACTAGAATGAACTTTTCCCTCTCCTTCCCTCCCATCCTCGGTAACACAGTGAATTTCCTTCCCTGTGTGAACCATTCCTTGACTTTTCCTAATAATACTCTCATACAATATTTGTCCTGCAATTGACTTATTTCACTCAGGATATTGTCCTCCAAATTCATCCACGTTGTGAGATGATTCGCATATTCTTCAATATTCTTTAATGTTGGATAGTATTCCATTGGTGAATGTACCATAGTTTGTTTATCCATTCATCTGTTGATGGGCATTTAGGTTGTTTCCATCTCTTTGCTATAGTGCATTGTGCTGCAGTGAATATGGGTGTGCATATGTCTATTCGCGTCCTGGGCTCTTACCTCTTTAGGATATAGTCTTAGTAATGGAATTACTGGATCAAATGGTATTTCTATTTTCAGTTTTTTAAGGACACACCATACCATTTTCCACTGTGTCTATACCATTTTACAGTCCCACCAGCAGTGTATGAGAGTTCCAGTCTCTCCACACCCTCACCAGTATTTGTTATTTTCTTTCTTGTTGAATTTTGTTTTGATTTGCATCTCTCTAATAGTTAATGACTATTATCTTTTGGAGATAAAGTCCCTTGTCAAGTATGTCATAGCCAAATATGTTTTCCCAACCTATAGGTTCTCTTTTTACCCTTTTGGAGAAGTCTTTTGATGCACATAATAATTTAATTTTTAAAAGGTCCCAGTCGTCTAGTTTCTCTTCTGCTGCTTGTACATTTTGGGTTATGCTTGATAGTCTATTTATACTGTAAATTAGGGCCCCTAGATTTGCCCCCATTTTATCTTTGATGAACTTTTTAGTTTGGGGTTTTACATTTAGGTCTTTGATCCAACTTGAGTTCATTTTTGTGTATGGGGTGAGGTTTGGGTCTTGTTTCATTTTCTACAAGTCAATATTCAATTTTGCCAGCACCCTTTGTTAAAGAGGCTACCTCTCCCCCATTTAATGGGTTTTGGCTTGGGCATGTGTCTTAACATGGGATGGGGCTAAGGCCCACTGATCAGAGCTGCTACATCAGTAAGCTGTCTTCATGTCCTGCCTGAAGACACTTAGCATTTTCGGATAGCTTACAGGGAGGCTGGCATCATACCAGGAAGAGCACAGTCCTCACAAGACATTCCCAGTCCAGTTGAGGGAACACTATGCAGAAAGCTACAAGGCCAGGCAGGTTGCATAAATGGCATAAGAAGGGTTCACCTAAAGGGGCAGCTTGTAGCACTTACTGATGAAGATCAAAGACTACAGTTTTCTGTATGGATTACACCTCAACATAAAGAAAACAAAAATCCTTACAACTGGACCGATATACAACATCATGATAAATGGAGAAAAGAATAAAGTTGTCAGACATTTATTTTACCTGTATTCCATGCTTCCATGGAGCAGCAGTCAAGAAATCAGACATTGTATTGCACTGGGCAAATCTGCTGCAAAAGACCTCTTTAAAGTGTTGAGGAGCAAAGATGTCACTTTGAAGACTAGCATGCACCTAACCCAAGCCATAGTATCTTCAGTTGCCTCATATACGTGTGAAAGCTGAATGATGAATTTTGTAAGACCAAAGAAGAGCTGATATCTTTGAATTGTGGTGTTGGTGAAGAATACTGAAAATACCATGGACTGCTAGAAGAAGAACAACTTTGTCTTAGAAGAAATGCAGCCAGAATGTACCTTAGAAGCGAGAATAGCCAAATTTCATCTCACCTACTTTGGTCATATTATCAAAATGGAATGGTCCCTGGAGAAGGATATCATGCTTGCTGGTAAAGTAAAGGATCAGTGAAAAAGGGGGAGACCCTCAACAAGATGGATTGACGTGGTGGCTGCAGTGATGGGTTTATGCAGAGCAAGGATTATGAGGATGGCACGGGACTAGGCAATGTTTCATTCTATTGTACATAGGGTTGCTGTGAGTCAGAATCAACGTGGTGACACCTAACAACAACAAAGTAGCAGCTGCTGGTCACTTCCAGCCAGTTTGTCATATAGAAGTACAAATCCAGTGTTGCTAAGAGCAACAGTATCCTGAATTTTGAATGTTGACAACTAATACAGAAATTTGGCAATACTGTGTTGGCCAAACCAACATATCTACAGGCCAGGGCTAGCCTTCGGGCCACCAACCTGCAACCTGGGCATTCTTGGGTCCCATCACCAGGAAACAGACATCATTTCTTTTTCTTATTTGCAAAGCACTAGGTACCTTCTTTGAGAATAAAGGAGGGATTTTTGTTTGCTAAATCTAGTTGCTCAAATAATTTCTTTTAGAAGGATCAACATAAAGCTGGTCCCTGTGAGAAGGAGGTTAAAGACATCCCAAATGTCCAGCTTTTCCAATCTGCTGTACTA